AATGATCATAACAAAATTTGTCATCTGTCAATGGAGGGTTTTTTAAAATTCCAAAATATATTATCTATATCTGCCAAATACCATGGCAACTTTATTATCAGTACTGTTCTATAGACCTAACTCAGTTTGTTGAAATGCATAAGTATTTAACCTTACTTCGAAATTCAATTCTCAATAGAATATAATGATTCTATGGCCTTTGCTTTCCATTTATTAAGAATATGAACTTCCAGCCTGGCCGGTGTAGCTCAATGTTTGGGCGGCTACCTATAAACCAGGAGATCTCTGATTCTGGTCAGGGCACAGGTCCAGAATGCAGGCTCCATCCCCAGTAGGGGGCGTGCAGCAGACAGCCAATCAATGACTCTCTCTCATCACTGATGTTTCTTTCTCTCTGAAATCAATAAAAACATATTTTTTTAAAAAAATATGAATTTCCAAAACAAGATCACAGTATCTGAAGATAGGGGAAATCACTTTCACTTTTAATATAGTATTTTTAATTATTCTAATCTTAAAAATATTTTTGAAATGCCATGACTTTGTATAGATAAGCAAACATGCAATTATTGCATATGGGTATGCAATTTTTAACAGATACTACCAAACTGCCCTCCTAAAGAGCTGAACTAATTTAATTTATACTTCTACCAGCAACGTAAGAGTTCCCATTTCCCACACCCTTTGCATCACTTGATTTAACTTAACAAAAGTCTGCCAATCTGATAGAGTAAAAATGATCTCACTGGTATTTTAATACTTTCAATATTGCACTGTCTGAATTACCTATTTTCTAAAGAGCATACTTGTAGTGGTATTTTCCCAACCTGGTCCTTCCGTTATATCTCTTTTCCTTTCTAATTAAATAAGAAATTGCTCAACAAAAAGTAACTTAAAATGCCCTGTTCCCACCTGCAAACCCTTCCCAGGGACCTAGAATATACACACTTGTAGGCTTTATAGACAAGAAGCATGGCATGCTTGACAGAGAAGAAACACTGTGATAAAAATGACCATGTTGGACAAGCATTGCTATAAAGGTTAATGAAGAATCTTTAATGCTATAGCATGCTCTGTGGCTTTTATATAATACTCATTCCAGTCCATATTGGTTTTCTGAAAGGACTGATTTTTTGAAATTAAAAGTCTATAATTAGTCTCGAAACAGTATGCAAAATAGGTTGAAATGAGACAAAAGAGTGGATATGAGGGTACAGATTTTAAATTTGAAGTCATCAGATATGTGGAGGTAAATGTGAGAACAGAGCTTGGAGGAGAGATGATATCACCTACACAAAGGTGAGAGTCAAAGCCGAGAAAAGGGAGACGCTCTTGAGAAGGTAGACAAATGGCAAAGCAGCAAAGGCCCCAGCCTCAGGGTTTACCCAGTGAACAGACCCAAAGAGTCAGGAAAGCAGACAGACAACTTAAAAAATGGGAGAGCCAAGCAAAGTGGTTTTCAAAATGATAGAATGACTAACAAAATTAAATAAGAGCACTACGTGGAAAACTGAGCACAGATCATTCCATTTTTCCATGAGATATTTAAGAAAGTACACAGTCCTAAAATTCAAGGTCAATGCCCTTGTCAGGTTTTACAATAAACAAAGCAATTTCATTCTATTTAATGAACAGTTATGTTGTATACAACACATGCCAAAACTGTTCTAAGTAAGCCCTTTACAAAACGTTAACTCGTTTTTCACTTGGCTATTTCTTTTAATAACCCCCTATAAAACCTGGCAGGTCCTGAGTGAGGACTGGCATTCCAGGTGGTTTGCGGCTGGAGGGATGACCTATGCTTTGGAAGCTGAGCACCAGTAATAAAATCAACTGGAAGCTTACCTCCCAGAACACGGGCAAATGGAAAGGAGGACAGCTACAACTGGAAACCAGAACATTCAGAAAATAGGATCTTTAACCAGATAAATTTTTTTCACAATCTCAAGGCCAGTGCTCTTCACTTCATATGTAAACTGGAGACAGCTGGCGTTCACTCTTGAAATCCTTGATTGGAAAACTCTCAGGATTTTCATATTTAGGCATAACTCATTTTATTGCATTTAGCTTTATTGCCCTTCCTAGGTATTGAGGGTTTGTTTTTGTTTTGTTTTTTACAAACTGAAGGCAAGACTCTCCACCAGCAAAAAGATTACGACTTGCTTGTTACTGCAATATTCGCTTTATTACAGTGGTATGCAAGGTATGCCTGTAGTACCTGAACCAGTCTAGCCTATTACTCCAAACTTTTAATTGAGGTAAACAAGACTATCTTACTGATCACTCAAAATCCAGGGCATCTAAGCAAATAATCTTGACGGTACCCTGGCCGAGGCGGATTTTCTTTGGGGACTGGGGAGACTAGGAGGACATTTATGTAGGGGTTGTCAGTATTAGCCAAAATAGGGTTTCAAAGTCATTGCTAGGGTTTCAACGTTCATCAAGGAACAAGGTTCTGGGGGAAAAGGAGGGATCCTAAAGCCACTGAAGAGACATACACTGGAAGCCGTTTTCAATAGAAAGCAGGTCCCATCCTATTGCCTTTAAGGACAACTTTAAATGCCAGTAATCGCATTTTGCAATTCTGTGTGTGAGTACAGGTATTTAAACCAGTTACACGTCTGGTAAACCAGATGACAAAGGTATCAGATGAGATTAACCATACCCATTCTAGTCCCTAAAAAAACATAGGAGGTGGAAATTTAACAAAAACCTAGCCTTTTAGATCCTGAAGGGGATGTGAGTCATCTAACTGAAGGTGTTCAATGATGTGCCCAAGGTCCTAAGGCTGCTCTGTAGCACGTCATCATCACTCACGGAATACCACAGACTTTGCCCATCATTCAAGTGATTTTAAAAAAATAA